CATGAACCCAATTGAAACACAAGCACAAATCAAAATGCTGTTACAAATTCTTTTTTACAACACTCTACTAATGAGCATCACTGTACCATGCGCACAAAACTCCCCATTCATCAATACCCCACCAGGCTGCAACTCAATTTGGAAAGGCTTCCCCTGTAATATTCATATACCATCAAAACTGGTTGGAGCCTTCATTCATTTTTCTTTCAAAAGAAATCTAATGGTTGCAGCTTGATTGGTGTGGAAATGAATAGTATACTGAATAGAATAAAGTAAGTAATTTGAGCATAACATTGTATTAACTCTTTAATAATACCCCACCTCAGGTGTTAATTGATTGTTAGAGTATGATATATGAGGAGTTCTGATCAAAGTAGAATCTTGATGATTGTATGAACATGCTTAACAAAAATTTAGGATAAGTGCATGATTAGTAATAATTTTAATTTCAGATATACTGTTGTTGTTTGGAGTTTTTGTTTTTCGTATTTTGATTCAAATGCGTGATTAAATGTTTAAGTAAATGAAAATCTAGGAAAGATGATTCTTGTGCAGGATGGTTCCCACAGGAATCATTCCTAGGAGGTGGTGCTGAGATTTTTTGAAACAAACAAGACATGTCGTGAACTTTTAAGTGGGCAATCTCTTGAAAATGGAAAGTGCCCCCACAGCTAAAATAAAATATGCATGCACAATCCAAGACCTATTTTAATCGATTCTTGTGATGTTTTTAATATTGATGTGAGGCCTCGAGCATAAGAAAATGTATGAGATAAAAGGTTGGCACATACATTGGAATGTATAGCATAATGGTTAGAATTTAAACTATAAATTTAAGTCTCACATTTTAATAGAAATGAAAAGAATAAAGTATCATATATAAAGTTAAAGATGCATTAATTTATTGTCTTTAAATTTTAAGTATAGATTTGTGTTAATTTTTCATGTGATTAGACTCATATTTTATTAATGTTGTATTTTTTCAATGAATCTCCTTGTCGATAGGCCTAAAATTGAGATCCACTCCACAGTGTGATCCTATGCTCCCATACACCACACATCATTCTTCTTGTGCTTTAACGAGACCAAATCCCTTATTTGGTTTTGAAAACAAATGCATGTCTATGTTTGTGTCTGTTTTGCAAAATTGGAATCTCTGTTGATTGCTCCTTGCAAGTATCATTCTGCTGCGTCATCACCTTCTTCATCCTCTCTTGTCTGTCAGCTGTCTTATTCGTCTACTTTACAATTCAAGTTTGGTGTACAGCAAAAAATCCTACCCAATCATGTCCTCTTTCAACTCAATGCACCACCATAGTACTACTATCTTCACTAAATTTCATGCACCGTCTATTTTTTCTTATTCAAATTCATTCACTCAAATCTTCTTCGTAAGAATTCATTGACAACATCTTTTCATAAAAAAAATAATGATACTTTGACAACATTTTTTTGACAATAATTTAACATCATCTACATGTCATTCTGTGATTGGTCCAAAATTACTACACAATTAATAATAATAATCATAAACATCAATATGTACCAATCATAAAATGACATGTAAACAGTGTTAAAATATTATCAAAAAAATATTGTCTAAGTATCATTATCCATAAAAAATCCTTTTTTCTAACTACATTATCTTTCCAAAAAACAACATCAATTAAATATGATCACAATTTTAAGACTTCAACTTTTAAGAGACAATAAATTTATAAATTTGTCTAAAAATATTTATTCGTGCAAAAAATTGAAATTTTGTTTTTAACAAAGACTAATTTGAATTACTAATGATTTTATCAAAGACTATGTTCGTACAGTTTCACTTTTTAAGGTTTAATCATGTGCTAAAAATATAGGGAGAATGATTGTGTCACATGCTTGTAAGCTTAGAGAGGACTATTTACTATAATTCTATTTATTTAGAGACTTAATTGGACGAAGTAATCGCTTCAAAGACTGAAAATTGATGGTATTTTAACAACTTTTAACATAAATTTTGAAGAATGATCTGTAATATTCTGGTTTACCTGATGAAAAAGATAACATGGAAGATGCAAATACAGCATCTCTGTGAAGTGTGTGTTAAAAGATCTCTTAGCCCTGTAACTAGCCTTACAACTGTGACGTCTGAATCTGGTTTTCATTCTGCAAGCATGCATTGTTCGAATCATTGTATTCTTCTGCTCATTTTTTCCTATTTCTCTAATCGCTAACCTGATTCATTCAAAAGCAATCACATCTGCAAGCTCTGTTACAGTGCTTTTCCATTACCTTTTCATTTTTCATTCCTAAGTAGAAATTTCCCATCATATATATTTATATTTTCAATGATAAAATATAGCTACAGTATTTTAAGAACTTTTTTTGGTAGTGTTTTTCAGTTAAAAAAATGAGTTTCACTTTATATAATCAGTGTTGATCAAGTTTAATGTGGTGAGATTATTGCGTGAGTTAAAATTCAATTTTAACTAAAAAAGAATGTATACTTAAAATAGTATAAAAGTAGGTTTGTTCTTGTATCACCCTCCCCAATCATGACAGAATCTCACAAAGTTTGGAGACAATAATAGCCATTTTTGTTCCAAATCTAGCTATTTTGCTTCCTGCAAGAAAGTTCTTCAGCATTAACTCTCAATCTTAATAAATAATCTTTAATTAAATATAAACCTAGTTCTAATTAATTAACTTATCATTTACTACTGTTTAACCAGCTTATGAATACCCAACTACTACTATTAGTGGAATCTGACCAAGTGCTGACATAAACATGTTGTCATTCCAACTGTTAAATTATACGATTCTAAAAAAAGTGAAAAAGTAAAACAAATGTTTCTACAAATTAATTTTAATTTTTTTTATATGAATATTAAAAAAGAAAGGTTTGTCTGTCATGGGTTAAATCAGGTAATAAATTCTCTAACGGTGGTGGTATAAGTATGTGAAATAAATTAAATCCTAATTTTACGGAAAATGCAACATACAATGCTGAATTGCTGATAAATATAAAACATTTATGATACAGCTAAAGAACAAATAAAATTATTAAAAGCAATAATTAATTAAAAAAAATGGTTGTGACAGTTATTGAAAGAATAAAATAGTCATGAAAAATAAACTTTTATATATTTTAAAAAAATAATATTAAGTGAAAGTAAAAATTTTAAATGTATCAAAATAATATTATTCTTATTTAAAATACGAAATTTGGTATCTGTTTGAATGATCTGAAGCAATTGATGATGTGATGGGTTGAGGCATGTTTGGATGGTCATCATGTTCCCTATGCTCCAAACTATCATATGTTTATCTATTCAACTTTGTTCATTCCTCACTCCAACTTATTCCGAACATCCTTAATTTCTAGGTTTCACACAACGCTAAATCTCTTGGACATTGAAAAGGTCTCAAGAACATTGTTAATAATATCTACCCCTCCTATGTTTTATATTATATTGCAAAATTAGAGTACCTATACATACCATCATCTTATCCTTCAATTTTTAATGTAGAAAAGAAGTAGCCGCCTAGGTTTGTTTTAGCTTGGCATGCGCATAATATGAATTAGATATCCTAAATTGAAATCATAACCCAAACTCTCATTTATTTATTTGATTTTGTTTGTTTTGAAGCATTAATTTTTTCGGAGATTTTATATAAATTTTATAAAGATAATATTTAAATTTATTAATAAGTATTTAGTCCTTTAGTTGATAGATGTCTCAAAATGAATGGCATGACCTTTTGCTGAGAACTTTTCTCTGCTGAGATTCTGTATGTCTGAACAAAAAGATAAATAAAAGTAATTAATAAGGTAGATGATAGCAACAACATATATCAGTGTTTGGATTAAGAATTGTTTAGAGGTGTCTGTAAGGATTGATACGAAGATTAGGACAGGAGTGAATTTGAATATAGATATGGATATTATAAAAGTGCTATAAAGTTGATATCTTATGAGTATATTAGTTATACACAACGTGACGTGAATAATGTTTGTATCCTACTGGGGTCACTCACTCAGTTTACAATTAATGGATGTATCAATATAACTATGCAGGTTAGGTTGCCATACTCATTAGGTTGCATTTTATATGTGTCTAAACTTTCACAACTTTCGTCTCTATTAAACATGCAACATTGCAACTACTGGTTTTCAAAAGAAGCATATTCCATGTTCAAGAAGACAGATTTTTTTTTTATTATTTAGCCCCAAACTTTCATGTTCTTCTTCTATGACAACACATCGTATAATAACTCTAATAAATCTTAGAATTGTTGGGGTTTTGGAGGATAGAATTGAGATATGGAATGTAATTGATGATATCAAATAACACAAGATTGGCTGTAGGGATGAGCTCACCCAAAAGGTTTAATCCAGTTCTCTTTTTGAATCTCATCCTCTAAATATTTTAGGAATATGTGTATATATAATGTGGCGATTATTAATAAATAATATTGCGTGATGCCTTAAAATTAAATATTTAATAATATTCATGGTTAGTTTAATTTGATTTATGTGAGATATTGGTTACTAACTTCTTGAGTCTATACTTTTATTTTCTTCAAAATTTTCAAATTTCACCCTTTCATCAATTTTTCTTACTTAGAAATTCTTAAATTTTCATTTTATCATTTAAAGTTTATGATAGAGTATTAGATTTGCTATATGGAATGATTTTAAAGGTTTTTAAGTCAGAAATTAAATGAAAAAGAAATACAATTTCATAATTCTAATTGATAACATGTTTTGAAGGTGAGATAGTGACATTATTTTTAGTTCAAATGAAAACGATGTTCTATTGAGATGAATTTTGAGTACAATAAAGTTTAAATTGATCCAATCAATTTAACATGTGGAAAGTAGAGTAGAAATTCTAGCTTTTCATTCAATAAATGATTGCCATCAGAAAGGAGACAAGAATTAAAACTGCAAGAGAGAATTTTAAAAACTAAAGACAAAAAATTATAAGAAATAGAATTACAAAAACTAGAAATATATCTAGATTAAACTTGTTATTTTGGAAATAAACAATACAAAGAGTCATGATATTTCTTCAACTATACACACACACACATAAATGAAGTTACTAAAAGCATCACTTGTTTATCTAAGGCTATGAATTCCTACATCTTCAGTGTCCTATGAAGTCACCAATGTGACTGTTGTATGAGCATATGTACAAGAAAATACATTCACAAAAACGCCTCCTACTATGATATGCATGGATACGGAAGAAGGTCTAAAGGTCCACACACACATAGGAAATGACTGAACCAGCTCGGCGCTTTGTACGTTGGCTAACCTTCCACTTCTCAACAAGGACCTTCCTTATGTGGGGGCAGCTAGAAACCACGGTGGCCACACCAACTGAAGTTATACCTGAACAATAAACCATGTGGCATGACTCAAGCATTCTGCAACTTTTTACAAGATGGGCTAGCCCAACATCTGTTATTTGTCGGCAGTGTGAGAGTACTATTTCTTTCAGCAATGGACAGTGTTCTCCCACTTCAACCATAGCCATGTCACCCAAATTCTGCAGTTATAGAGCAATAGAAAAGCAAGGCAAATAAGTAGAAAGACTTATTTAGCGTATAGTTTGCCAGTAATTATTGCATTGCCTTAGGTATAGAATGAGAGATATCAATACACACCTGTAATACACTCACGTCCAAGTAACAGAGTTGAGGGCACCCCCTTGCAATGGCTACCACTCCAGCATCTCCAATCTGATGGCAACCACTAACATTAAGATAATGAAGGGAACAGCCCTCAGCTATGGCAACAAGGGCCGCATCACCCACCCTAGTAATGTAAGAAAGTGGTTAAGGTAGACACAGAAGAAAAGATGTAATACAAATTCCCAAACATCAAAATAGTAGAATAAATATTCATGAAGATTTCTGCTTAGAGGGATAATAGTAAAGCTGTGACTAAGGTTTTACCTATCACAGAATCGAATGCTGAGATCTGTTAGCAACTTACAGTTCTCGCCCACAGCAATGATCCCCTTGCTCCCAATCTAATACATGAAGGGAAAAAAGAAGGAACACAAGGAGAAAGGACGAAAATGTCATAAAGCTTATAAAGAAATAGAGTCAACAGTAAAAACAATTGGCTTATTGCTTTACCCTGGACATATAATAGACATTCATGTAATGCAAGTATTACACCACTTTCATATACTTCTACATCATTCACAAGGTGTGCCATATTATAGTCTGCGGGGGATGAGGGGGCTAGAGTTCGTGTAGCAAGTAAATAGTGTCCTACTATACTAAAAGTCAAAATAACAAGGTGCAGCGTTGCTTAAAATGGTAAGGCACTCAAACACAACTAAATTGAAAAATTGGTATGCTCATTATTAAAAGGGCATAATGAAAATACTCTATAAGATTGCTGCTTAGAAATCGTTCAATCAGTGGTCGTCAAATTATCAAGGAACCTTGAAGAAAGCACCACAAAAGGAAGTGAGCAGAGCAACAAAAGAAATTCCTCTTTTACCTTGTTTTAATTAAATTGAGACGGGGGATAAAGAGATAGCTAGTTGAGATATCTTGTGAAGAATTAATTGGTTTTGACTTTAAAATACCAAGTTTTGTATACGGAAATGTTTGACTAAATGTAAGAACAAGTTCTGTTTCGATTGTGTTAATGACTAAAGATAAAATTACTTTCGAATGTAATTTCCTGAAGAGAACAAAAAATATTTTTAAATTTTAAATATTATAAGAAGGACAAAGTTCTAGAAGAAGCATGCGTAATGTACGCTTCAAATGACTCAGTAATTATCCTAGGTTACAAGGTACAGAATTTCGAAAGTGAGTGAGATATCCAAAACAAAAATACAAAAGAAAAATAACAATAAAATCAATTTATGCTAAAATTAAAATTACACGTACAGAATGGCATTTTAGTGCAGAAAACCAACATAAATGCAGTACCTCATAACAGCGACGGATATGAAGTTTCTTTAGATTCTTGCAGCCACTGGCTATGCCACACATGGCTTCATCTCCAATACTTGAGCAATCTACCAAGTGCAGCGCTTGCAAGTATTTGCACCCCTGTCCAATCTGGAGAAGGCCAGCATCACCAATTCTTTGGCAGTAAAGTAATGCTAATTCTGAGAGATGCCTGTGCAGTAGAAAGTAGAGATTAGCCTCAGAGATGAAAGAAGAGGGAAATTTTCAACACTTAAGAAATCCGGTCATCAAATATTTGTCAATATCATAACTTAATATTCAAATACAGGATCATAGCATGTATATCTTTGCCAAATTTAGTCTAAGTTTGGTCTCGCTTCTTCATTTACTTAAAAAAGGCTAATTCGAACTTAAAGCTTATAACAAGTGATTTAAGTTTTATCTTAGAGAATAATTTTAAATTAAAAAGCTACACATACCAGTCAAAGATGAGGGGAAAGAGAGGCTTAGGAATGCAGTTTATTATTTAATGCTACTTCGGTTAGTTTTTAAGACTGTGCGTACAACAAAGTAGGTTGCAATCCATGCATGCAGCAGGCCTGTAGAACAATCTATGCAAGCAGATCCATTGCACAAGACCTTCAATTATTGAGGACCTCCAGATTTTATAAGTCCACAAATTTGCACTAGTCTTTTTGTTTTTATTTATATTTATCAGTAAAAATGTAGTACGAATTTTTTGTGCATTATTTTGTAAAAAAGCAATCATATTATAATATTTAGAAATATTAAATTGTGCATTTATTTTTAAATATTGGAATAGAGGAGCAAAATTTCACGATTAGAACAGGACCTCTAAAATTTTTAAGACGGCTCCAGCATGCACACATAAACACACAACAATGTCAATAGAAGCAGTATCTCCTATTCACTGCAAGCGGTAAATTTGTGTGATAGTACATTTCTTGCTTTTGTAGCTTACACTGGGAAAACTTCTCAGATTTTAAGAATGTTTTGTACAGCAACTTAGGTTGACAAGAATATATGCATATACACTTACACACGCACGCATAAAATCAAAAAAATCATGCAAGAACAACCAACAGACCACAAGATTAATTAACTACAACTACAGACGTTGAATAGAAATATAAAATTCAATGACTTTCTTCGTCCTAAAACATTTTCCCAACTCCCTGTGCTGATTATTCGATGTGGAGTTTGCTGCACACAAGAGTTATAGTACACACATCTATAACATTTTAGGGAACTTAGATTAGTGAAAAAAACGTACTGGCAAGATTTTCCCACAGATTCTAGTCCCAAAGTTCCAATATTGTGGCATCCATTCACTTCAAGATGAGTGAGTTCCTTGCAGCCAGTAGCAATTGCTTCCAAACCCTTATCACTTAGGAAATAGCAATCACTTAAAGTCAAGTTCTTTAACTTCTTACATCCTTCCCCAATAGCACACAAACCCCTGAATGTAGACATTGTAAAAAGAAAAAGTATTACTAACTACACAACAAAAAATGAAAGAATTAATATCAGAACCCAAAATTACAAATTAGAGGCAAGGAAAAAGATTGAAAGTTTGCGGTTCATACTATCATAAGGGTCATGTAAAAGGAAAAGTAAAAAGAATTACAAAAGCAACCAAGTCTCACCCCACTATGAGTTTGGCAACACGGATCAAATGACAACATTAGATCTTAATAAAAAATATAATTTAAAAGAAAAACCATAAAAAATTGTTTCAATGGCTCTTTTGAATTGATCAACTCAAAAAATGGTTGGTAAGGTTGTTGCGCAAGAAAGATATATGCAATTTGCACTAAGCCTGTTGCATGTGTCTTTTTTGTAATTTTAGCCATAGTCAAAGCAAGCAGATCCTTAAAAAGCAATGATGAGAAAACAGCTAACTTATTAGTAAATCTAGGAAAACTATGTTGAGCCAATAACTCCAAAGACAAACCACTAATCAAATCCGCAAATAGTTGATCAAGTCTTAACACAAGAAAGAAATATTCAACACGTGTTGTGCTCAGTGAATGTGATTTTTTTGTGAATTCTACCATAGTCAGATGAAGCAAATCCTGTAAAGCAATGATTATAAAGAAACTCACTTATCAGTAAATCTCTGAAAACTGTATAGAGCCAACATCTCCAAAGACAAACAACTAACTCCCACAACTTTCAAAGCATCATCTGTTAGATTAATACATTGTAGCTTTAAAACTTTTAAATGTGGACATCCTCTAATCACAGCAAGCAGCCCTTTATTATGGATGAACTCAGAGTCCAATGACAAGGTCTCTAGAGATCTGCAGTGTAATCCCACAGCTTCCATTGAAATGTCAGTTATTTTCGCACAAGCTGCCACTCCAATAGATTTTAACGAATTTCCCACACCCAATGCTAATTCAACCAAACCTGTGTCACTCAATCCTTCACAGAAACGCAGATTCAAATCTTCAAGTTGCTTGCAACACTGTCCAATAGCAGCCAAACCTTGATCTCCAACATAACAACCCTAAAGGAAAATATCGTGAGTTAAAATAACGAGTGTGCATCGCTCACGCCAAACTACTCATAGTTGTACATATTAATATAGTGACAAGGAGAATGATGCACAAAAAGGAAAAAAAGGGCGTTGGTATCTCCAATTGCAATGCTTCACAAGAAATTTACTTTAACCCACTGGCTTCAATAAAAAGAAAAAGTATATTAGATTTTCCTTCCAGTCTCAAGATAATACAGGAACTTACAGCATATTTGAATGTATTTCATTTATCAACCTTGATATTACTTTCAATTGAGACTTGGTTTCGAGACAAATATGTGGGCAGTCGCCCTTACAAGCATATCACAAGCCAAATTTACCCTAGTTGAAGGAGCCAAACGGTGAGCCAAACTTAGCCATGGGCCTGTTTGGATACAAGCGCTTCTGAGAGCTTCTCCACCAGAAATAATAAGCTTTTTTTTTCTTTTTCTGTAAAACAAACTTCTCAACAGCTCTTCTTTCCCACAGAGGAGGTCTTTAAAACACATCTAACTAAGTATCCAACCAAACTCTAAACATTCATTTCAAAGCAACTGAATACTCATAACAAGGCTAAGGCAATACTATAAGTGCAGACTGAGTAAATAAAACATTGCAAAAAAATAAATAAATACAAACAGTGTACGTAAGCACGACAAAACAGTTTAAACCGCAAACGAAAATCCAATCAGCTAGAGGACACAAAAAAAGAGTACATAAATACCTGCAAATCCAAGGACTTCAAAGAAATGCATTTTCTCGCTAGCGATGACAAACCCTCGCTGGTGACGTTAGAACACCAGATTAACCTAAGCTTCTCGAGTTTGGGAAAGCCTTCGGCGAGAGCAGACAATCCAGAATCAGACAGACAGAGCGAATCGAATTCGCTCTGGTCAGAGGAAGAGCCGTATTTATCAGCCACATAATGCAGCTTCACCGCGGAATTCTCGCTCGCGCGTCTTCTTCCCTGCTAAAAAAGTAAATAAAAAGAATCAGAGAAAGGAAAATTAGGATTAGAGAAGGGAGACGTTGGGAACGAAGTGAGGAAGGAATATGACGGACAAAGTGAGTAGGGATCGAAACGGAGAGTCGCTCGTCGATGTGGACGGTGGTGACGTTGGAGAAACGTGCAGCGAGGAGGTGAATGAAAAGGTCCGGGGAGCCGGAGGCGCCGATTCGGATGGCGGCGCGTGTGAGGCGCTCGAGACGGAGCCAGCGCGTGCAGACGAGGGAACACGCGTCGCGACTGGACTTCGAGTCGAGGCGGCGGAAGATCTCGATGAGTAACTCGTCCGGCAGCAGGGTGTTGATCCAATTGTGGCCTCGCATCGAATTCGATTACTCAGATTGTGGAGGTTGCAGAATCCGAATAGCAGATCCAATTGCGTTCCTTATGGTTTTGATATGGTTATGGCCTTTCCTTTTCTGTGGGTGACATTTTAACCCTTGTTTTTCTCTTCCTTTCCAATTTTTCTTTTTCTGTTATCTTCTCCTTCCTTATTCATCAAAACCACATTTCACTGTTAAATTATAATTTTCAGTGTCCAAAGAAGATATTTATCACTATCATCCGTTATATTACTAAAGCCTCTTTTTACTTCTTTACTTGCCATTTTAATTTGCAATAATTATTAAATTATAAAATAACCTTTATCAAAATAATTTTAAAATTAAATTATTTTTATAATTTTGTTATCATAAATAAAATAGTGTTTTATTGTGTATCTTTTTTATTTATAAATAAGTGTTTAATTTTTCAAAAAATGATGCTAACAAAACTATATATACTAGAAAAAGGAGAATCCTTTCATTGATGACATAGATTTCATTGCTCTCGCCGTTAAATGTCTTCTTACTTTTTATATTTAATTTGAATTATATTGTTGATTATGTATTTTAAATTTATAAATTTAAGTTGAAAGATTCTCAAACAAATTATATTTGAGAAGATTATAATAAGTGTAGAGTTTTTTAGTTTAATTTACGTATCTTTAGGATATAAAGTCGAGTATTTGTGATAATATGACTATAACACGAGAATTAATCATTTTGACTAAAAGATTTTGCTGTTATGATCGGTAGCGGAGCTCCGTGTAGATATAGATAGACAGGAGTTTTCACCCAAATTTTCTTTTTGTTTATTTATATATTAATATATAAATAAAAATATTTTAGTTTAATTTAATGTGTTTTATTTATTTAGTACTCTTAAAAGATTTGTATATTAATCTTGACCGCATAAAATATTCTTCTAAGATCTGATACAAGTTATTAGTGTTTTGGTTGTGTTTGTTTTTTTTTCAATTGAAACTACGTGTTGTACAAAAATCAGTTGGAAAAACATAACAATAACAAATTAAGGAGTGATAGACAAGAATCATGATCTCAATTCCTCCCTAAATGTCATATATATATATATATATATATATA